AAGAATTCTAGCATTCTCATTTTCTTTTGAAGTTATGCCTGATGGTACAAGGCAATTTACATGGCAAGGAAAGCCTATCTGTGTTTTTTTAGGGACAAAGTTCATTAATTTAAAAAGGACTGTGTTCCTAGACAGCATAAATTCAAACCAAAACGATTACCTTAATGTACACTTGTTGGATAATTAATAGAGGAGGGAACCTCAAAATACAAAGAGACCAAAGAGTTTCAATTTAATTTATTGACCTGGCAATTTATGAGCTGAACTATCAGCCCTGTAGTAATGAGGGACAAGGGGTGTGTGTGTTTTTTCCGGCTTCGTTATGGGACCTGCTCTCTCATTATCCAGCTGACATCCCATCGGCGTCTGTGTGCTCGTTCAGTAACTTACTATGTCATCTGTGCCCTCGGGAGCAGCTTAAGAGTGACGTTGCTCTGGAGAGTGTTTTCCCCTCTTGGTTTTAGCAAGTGGTGGATGTGGAGTTCTGGGTAACCCCAGGCTCTTAACTCACAACAGGTTTAAAGGTCCTCTACTCCAGTTGGGCCTTCTCAGCTGGCAGCCACTTTGACACTTTGCGTTTTATTGCCGTGGAAACGTGGCATTTGGAATTGTCCCTAAAATATGTGAAGGGGGGGCATGTGCGGGGAGAATGATGTATTTATTACAGGAGGGAAGGAAATGTAGAAAAGGTCAGTTTTTAAGGTTTGCTTGTTTGTTCTTTAAAAAGAAATCCACTCTGATCTCTTTCATGTGGAAAAGGAGAAAAACTCCCTTTGACAGTCTGCCTGGTGAGAGGTTTGTCGGCTGGCATGACGCACAAGCCCAGGCTGAAATCTGACTGCCAGCCATGTATTGGGGCATAACAGGTGCCTGGTAAACACCCTAATTTTTTTTGCACGCTATCTCAGCTTATCAGATGTCTGGCAGGAAGGTTGGAAAATTACATTTTCAAAAACCTTTGGCTCCACAGGCTCAGTGCATAGTGTGTTTCCTCTCGAGGAAGGCAAATGTCTGATTTCTTTTATTTTATTAAACCGGAATGAAGGACAGAGTATTTCTGAGAATGTACTGAGTACTTTCTACTCTGAAAGTATAAAGGAGAAGGAAGAACCACTCCTGCTTGGTTACATACAGATTAAAAATTGAGCTACTCTTGCTGTAGGTGTGAGGTTGTAATTCTGTTTATGTTTGGGAAACCATGATACTGAATCAGTGCCGGATTTACGTATAAGCTAAACAAGCTGTAGCTTAGTCCCCCAAAAAATTTAAAGGGAAAAAAACCTGGATGTACATTTCTAAAATATAAGATAAAAAACAAAATAAAGCCTACATACAGCAACAGTGTTTTGTGTTGTACATATTTTGTTATGTGCAAATGGCTTTAGATACCTATTAGGTCCATAAATTACCATATAGCATATATTCAACACAAAAAAACAGCGACAATTTGTTGTTGACAAAGGACAGCTGGACATATAAAGGGCCGCATTACCTTCAGTAGCTTAGGGCCTCATCAAAGCTAAATCCGGCTCTGGTACTGATACACTGGTTTACTGCAGGTGCAAGAGCTTTACTTTCCCCCTTCTCATACAAAGTCCCCCTCTCCAGGGGCTGCTCCATTAACTTTAATGGAAAAGGCACTGATACACTGATTTGCAGCAGGTGCAGGAAGTCCAATTTGGGATGCTCTGGTCTGATGCAGGTGCTCCCGTTTTCAGGCCCATTTGCTAACTTTGAAGAGGGGACAGCTCTGTGTTAAGTACAGTGGTACCTCGGATTAAGAACTTAATTTGTTCTGGAGGTCCATTCTTAACCTGAAACTGTTCTTAACCTGAGGTACCACTTTAGCTAATGGGGCCTCCCACTGTCTCTGCCACACGATTTCTGTTCTCATTCTGAAGCAAAGTTCTTAACTCAAGGTATTATTTCTGGGTTAGCGGAGTCTGTAACCTGAAGCATCTGTAACCCGAGGTACCACTGTACATAGAATCACTCCTGTTTAAGTGAATGGGGTAGCCCCCTTTTCTAGACACAAACCGTTTCAACTCATTAGGATTCTCCACCATGATGCATAGATTCTTCCCTCAACGGTTTCCCTTAAATACCCTTTCTATCATTAACCAAATTACAAATCGAATACAGCAAATATTCCAAATACAGAAGATAGTTCATGTTGGTGTTCATGTGTTAATGCCGATAATCCCGGGCAATTTTTTTTAACGAATATGCAAATATACTGCGATGCACAGTGGATATTGACTGTCAGCATTTGTTGGTGTTTGTCCAAAAAGTGGATATTTAAAATATGATTTGACATTCACAAAATTCAGATGGGATTGTTGGCATTCACTTTTGAATATCAACATTCATCACGTTTTTGGACACACATTGTAACATATATTTGAATAAATATTTTCTCTTGACTAGTCTTTGCAGCACTCAGAAAAGGCCACTGGGATGATCCAGTAATGAAAAATGAGGTTATTAAAAAAGCTCATAATACTAGTCTTGGGGTGAGCCATCAGGAATAGATGCAGCTCCTTTGCACTCCTTTTTTAGCATTTCAAAATCTGTTTTTGAGCTTTCTCTGTCAAAGACCTTCAACCGGCTGCACGTCTGAAAGACACACTTCATTAACTGACATGCACATCACTGTCTGGTGAGATTTCCTGTTGTGCCCTAACAAATGTATGTGCTGCGTATCTACAGCAGAAAAAAACCAGTATTGCTTGCAAGAAAGCTGCATGTCTTAAGCGAGCAATAACTTCCAGCTTGGAATAAATGTAGTAGCAGCAAGCTATCAAGTAAATATGCAAACAGACCATATGTGGAAAGGCTGAAAGAGCAAGAGATACCCAACCTTCAACAAAAGACGAATAAGGCTGAAATCCACGGAAGACAGGACAAGAGAGGCAGATACAGACTAATGGGGAGAGAGAGGAGTGACTTAGCTTTACGGAAGGATCATGAACAGGGTTATGTGTTTGAGAATTTGGTTTTGCATTGTGCAAAGAATTCAGCATCTTCAGAAAGTTAGCTTCCTCCCTCCTCCTTAGAGCTGCAAAAATTCGCACCCACCACTTAGTGATTAAAAAATAATAATATTCGAGCAGTTTATATATTTTTATAAATAAAAATAAATTTCTGTGTAAGACCACAAGGAAGGAGCATAACTCATGCGCTTTGCATGGCTAAGCTTCCAGGTTGCTAAGAACCTAAGAAGAGCATACTGGATGAGTCCAGTGGCCCTTGCAGTCCAGCCTCCTGTTCACCCAGTGGCTTCCCTAATGGGAAGCCTGCAAACCATTAATGGCATTATCCTCTCCCCCAAAATGGAAAATGAGCGAGGTCCCAACTAAAGAAGAAAGGCAACTTAAACTGATGGAATATGCACAGCTTGCAGACTTAACATACAGAATGAGAGAACAAGAAGAACCTACGTTTAAAGAAGATAGGATAATGTTTATTGAATATATGGGGGGGGAATTGTGTACATTTTAAAAGGTTGGCAGCATTAAGATAAATTCAACAGTGTAAATAAGTTTTGATGGACATGATAATGGAATACTGAATGGTTTAGTTTATGTAAAATATGCAAGGATTTATGTTATGCAAAATGAACCATGGAAAGAGAAGAAGGGAAGTCCTTGATATTTTAAGGTTGTTTAAATGAATATTCTAAAATGTAAAAAAAAAAATTATAGAAAAAAATAGCATTATCCTCTCTATGATCCTTCATGAATTCAACTAATGCTCTTTTAAAGCTATTGAATTTTGTGGCCCTCGCTACCTCCTGAGGGAGGAACTTCCATAGTTTAACTGTGTTAAGAAGTACTTTCCTTTATTTGCTCCAGGAGAGCCAACATCTGAACCCAGGAGATCAAACTAGTACTTCCTATACCAGGGATGTGCCACCTTAGGCTCAGGGGCCAAAAGTAGTCCTCCTGGCCTCTATATAGTCCTCAGCACTGTCCTCTGGTCATATGTCTGAGCGCTACCCCTCACCAGCCCTGCTTCACACCCACCTTCCAGGTTTTGCTTGGCTGCAGTGTGTTCCTTGAACTCTGGTTCTCCTTGTTTGCTTGAACAGATGGATGAAGAGGTGTGAGTGAATGTGAAAAACTAGCCTACTGAAAGAAAGAAGAAGAGCAGTTTTTGTTCCACTCACTTCTGGTTCCACCCACCATGGAAGATTGTGACCCTTGGGTTGTAAAGATTCCCCAACATTGTCCTACACCAACGTGGTTCAATTTAGCAGGGAGAAGCTCTGGTCCAGGAGGCTGTATGTCTAGACCCCACAACCACCCCTCATTGAGGAATAAAACACACCAGGACACAGATATTAGGTTAATGTTATTGGGCAATTTTTGGGCACAACTTTATTGATTACAGAATGTGAGCAGTAATTGGCTTAGGCATTGACTGGACCCGGATATATCTGACTCCTGCCCGCTGCGCAGGGAGTCCGGTAAGGGTAAACCACCAGAAGGGGGAACCCCGTTGATGCAGACCAACTCGAGCTCCCCCAGGTGTTCCTGACGGGGTTGTGTCATGGCCCTAGCCCCGCCCTGGGCTTCGGACAAGATCCACATCCCCAGATTCTCTTAACAGAATACCCTTAAGCTTGGAGGGGCAGCTGATGGCCACACCTCCCCTCCCCATCAAAAGGTCAAACAATGCCTAACCGCAAAACCTTACAAAGTTATGACGATTGCTACGAGGTAGGCGAAAACCAAATGGCCCGTGCCAATTTTGCCAAGTGGAAAAATCCCTACCAGGCCCCTCAATGGCGACCAACCAAGATCCGTAGCAAGGCCAATGAAAACCTGCAAAAAAGGGAGGGAGGGCGGGAGATTGAAGGAGCGAGCCATGAGGTAGCCCTCCGGCTCACGCCTCCACTTTAATGGTTCCAGCCATGCCCCCACCAGCCAGCGGATTGGCTGGCTGAGTGTTGACATGGCCAGGATCCCCAGGGCAACGCAGGACTTCATTCTCTGCCCCTGGGGAGAGTGGGTGGCCACGTGGTCCACTGCAACTCCTCCCTATGGTGAAGTGGAGTGGACTTCTAGGTCTAGGAAGAGGCAACAACGAATTCAAAACAACCAGACAGGGAGAATTTGTTCTACAGGATTTGTAAACAGGGCTTGTAAAATCAATAGAAATCAGGTAAATGTCTTCTAAAGAAGATTTTCAAACCTGAGTTAGAAATAAAAATAATAGGTCTTTGATCCTGGTGAATATAATTCTACCACTTACTTTACTTCCTGTAGTACTTTTAAATAGAACACATTAAGCTCACCAGGGGAATCCAGTTCTGACACGAGTCTGAGTTTCCTCTCATGAACTGAAAGCAATCTGTCCAATGAGGAGATTTGAGGACCAGTAATTTACTACCTCAGCTGTAATTTTAAATGCTCACTCACTGCAGGGATTGAAGCTTTCATTCTATAATTACAGAGGAATCAAAAGTCTAGTGCACTAATGTATTGAGTTATGATGCTGTCTATTTATAACACTCATTTCTTGAGCAATGGATTTTTAATATGTTGGTGTGGCCTGGCTGTTGGTAATAATCCTATTTACACAGTTGCTTCGTGGCTATGGGCAGCAATCCAAGCTCCTTAAGGAAAAAAAATATGTTTATAGCATTGTCGGTGCAAAATAAAGGATTTTGTGAGGTGTGTGTTTGTTTACCAAAGTTGCAATTTTGCACTGCTAGGGTGCTTAAATCCTATTGACTGCAATGAGGCTTAAACAACCAAATTGTGTGGTGCAAGATTACAATCCAAATCCAAAATTGTGGTTCTTTTCCTAGGGTACAGAAAGAAAGAAAATGCTTCTTGATGTGCTCTTGCTGTTTGAATTTGGCAGAGTGACACTATATTTGCAGGGACATTTGGGTTATTCTGGGGGGGGGGGGGAATTGCAGCGAATCAGCTGGATTTGTAAGGCTGTTTAGGGCTGGTAAAAATGTCTACTCCAGAAGTTAAAAGGTTGATCGTATGCCAGTGCGATGTATTATGGCATCAAATTAAGTTTCTTCCTACCTTTGGTGATTGTTACCATTTATATTTCAGCAGGAGCATGAGGATTAAAGGAACAATTCATTGATCTGGAGACTGTTATAAATATAGAGGAGAGCCAGCGTGCTGTAATGGTTAGGGTGCTGAGCTACAGACTCAGGAGGCCTGAGTTCAATTTATCAGTCATCCATGAAGCTTCCTGACCGTGGGCTAGTTGCCTTCGCTTCGCCTGGAGGAAAGGGGGACTGGAAACAGAGCACATGAATAAATATTTAGGATGTGGTCTGAAGGCACATGAGGCCACCACCTTGCTGTGAAGCTAAGCAGATCTGGGTCTGGTCAGTGCCTAGATGAGTCGTCTCCTGTAAATATTATTATCAACCATGTGAAGTATTATTTATTTATTCATTAAATTTATATACCGTCCATCTTAAGATCTCAGGTAGGTTCACAGGTAGGTTAGGCTGAGAGACAGCAACTAGTCCAAAGTCACCCAGTGGACTTCATGTCTTGAAGGAATGTGGAGCACACTCCCACCCGCAGACAAGCCACAGCTGTCTGAACATCATGCCCTCTATCTACCCTTTGGCTTTCTCAGTGGTCTGCCCTGCCCTGCCTGTGACCTTTGTCTCCTTCGTCATACATTGTTCAAGGGGAAAGTGACGCGGTGGAAGAAGATGCCAAAATAACTTTGTACCACCCCATGATCGCGTGATTGGAAGATGTAAAGGGCACAGTCCAAAATGTATCTGACTGGCTTTGCATACTGTGCTAATAAAAAGAGCCTTGGCAGAGCTAGCTGGCAGCTTGCTTATGCACGGCTCACCTGCATTACCAACTCCTGCCTCATGTCTTTCACTTCAATGTCTGAGTGGGGATTTGAACCCTGGTCTCTCAACTCCTAGTCCAGAATTCTAACCACTACGCCACAGTGGCTCTCCCATGTATACCATCTTGGGTTTTGTGATATAAGCATACAAGTGTAAGAAAAGGGATACAAGTGTAAGAAAACAAATAAGTAACAGTTGGGCAGGCAGACTTTCCCCTAATTACATATGAACCCTGCCTTTTCTCCAAAGAGCTTAGGGGAGTATAGATGGGGGCGGGGAATACTCACTTTATCCTCACAAGCAACTCATTCAGACAGATTAAGCGGAGTGATCTTGTGAGGCTCAAGGCCACTCAGTGACCTTTCTGGCTCAGTAGGGATCGCAACCAAGGGCTGAAATCCTCTCTTTAACCCCATTCCTCCCTCCCTCCCCTCTATATTGCATCCCTGCTGTGAGCCCTGCGCTCCTTCAGAGATATAAATGGTCACAATTACCAACAATGGAAAGCAGCCTAATTTGATGCAGGATTACCCATCATGCACTGAGCTGGGCATACCCTGGCTCTGAGCGGGCCTTGCTGCCAAGCAATTAGTGTGCTGGATCCAAGCAATTCCACCTGAAACCGTTTTCTGCAGAAATTCCCCACAATTTCCCCTCCGTTACTGCGAGCCTGGCTCTGGCTGAGTCCAGAGATGAAGTTTTAGTCCTTCTGTTCTGCTCCCCTGCCCTTACCCCCAGCCTCTCTCGCCAAGTTTTCTTCTTTTGAAAATTGACTCCACTACAAAGCAGTTACAGAAAGAATCCTTGACACGTCAGTCGAGAAGGCTCTCCAGGGCAGACTGACAACGCCGCCACGCAGTCCATCATTTTTAAAGAGAAACACACACGGTTTACTACTGCCCACAGTCAGCCAGCAGACATTTAGAGGCTCTAGGGTACAATTGTTGTCTGCGGCTCTTTCAATTAACTCCTACCTTTGTAATGCACTGAACCTGGACAGGACATGAGGGGATATTTCCTCTGAGTTCACAAAACAGAGTAATTGGAAATGTATCCTTGGTAGACGGCACCTCTGAACAATAGGTAACCTCCCCCCCCCCCGGCCCCTTCTCCTAAAAGATAAATTATTCTTTCTTTAGGGCTATAATTCACCATGGCCAAGGTTTCTAGAAGTAGCCAGAAAATCCTAAGGAATCTTAAAAGTTTAAAGAAGCAGGGATGGTTCAGCACTGGACAGCAGGCTGCAGGCTACTCCCTCAGCTATTGGGGATTTCAGACCCTCCAAGTGTCCCTATTCTCCAGGGACAGTCCCAGATTTACAAAAGCTGTCCCGGTTTCCGATTTGATCCCTGAATGTCCCACTTTTCCTTAAGACGTCCCGATTTTCATCATAGAGATATTGGAGGGTATGGAATAGGATGTCCCTGTTTTCATTGGAGAAATGTTGGAGGTTATGGGGTCTGAAGAATGGAAGACGAGTCTTGCTTGGAAAGAGCAAAAGGTTGACTTTGCCTGGCATGCTGCTCTTGACTTTGGCCATCCGGGTTCATCCAGGTGAACCTTTTTCACCTGGAGGCCATGTGTCCTTCTGCACAACCTTCTATGGAACACACGGGCAGAGTCAGAGGCAAAAGTAACACAGCAACAAATGTAAAATTTACCATTGCCCAATAAGCGAGTTTCTACACACCCCGCCCCCTCTGAACTTCACATAGGCAATATCTGATATTATTTTACTGACCTACCTAACCAGGTGGTTGCAAGGATGTGGTTTAAGGTAAGGCATCCTTAAAATGAAACCTTGGCCAATATTCTTTATCTGGAAGCCCATATGATGAAGAGGCGGAACAAAGGTGGGTCTAATCCACTTTGTCCTCTCAAAGTGGTGTTCCAGCACCAAGTGTGTGAATGTTCACCTGACACTATGAAAACCGACAAATGAGCCCCACTTTCTCCATCAATGCCACAGCTGTACAAGTGACACAGACAGGTGAGTGGCTCTGGGCACATCATATACTTCCACCCATTATTGATGAACCATCATAGGTAAGTCTTGGCTTCGCTTCATTGCGGTCATCCATTTATTGAACGATGATATCCTAGAGTCTGGGTTTTCCTCTTGTCTCTCTGGGCTCACTCCCTGGCTTTGCATTTATAACAGCCAAAATTGCTATCTATCTATCTATCTATCTATCTATCTATCTATCTATCATCTCTCTATATCTTTCATCACTGAAAATATTATGGTGTCTCCCCATAATGTAATTCAAAGTAAAACAATATTAAACTGCAAAATAAAATTTAACAACAACAACAACAGATTCACTGCAGCACATAACAGAATCTGATTTCCTCCCATTATTTTGATCTACACTAGTAGGGCACTAGTGAGGGAAGGGTGTGGCGTGTAAGGAAATCTAATGATTCTTCCATGATGACTACTTCAATGGTTTTTTTTTTTTAAGCAAATGTTAAATTCTTTTGTTAAATTTTTTCTCTCTATTTTGTCTGTATTGGCGTCCTGAGCATTTGTTCAGTTTGCCTGTTGGGTAATGCAGCCTGTGTATGCACTCTCTCTCTTTTACACACACACACACACACACACACACACACACACACACACACTTTAAACCTCCACCACATGATTTAATTATCCCTGTAAGCTAAACCAGAGCCTTTGTATCCACACAACAATCCATCAAAACAATGGTTTGCAAACAAGACTAGAAAAATTAATGCAGGCAGCGTTTTATAGGAGTAACCGAAAGACGACAAGCCATTCCTTCATTAGGCAGCACTGTGTGGCTGTTCTATACAGCAGGACGATCCAAATGGAGCCAGCGTCCAACTCATTTGAGAACCAGAGTGACCAGGCCCACTTTGCCTTCACGGATACATGTGTGTATCTCAACACCCACACAGATCGTGCTTAACACATTGCTCCTCAGGCAACGTGTTTTTTGCACGAAACGGGACCCAAAGCAACATTTCCCACGAGTTTCAGTCAAAATGCATTAATCCACTAGATATTTCCCAGGACAATATTATCTCACACATGCAGGCTATCTTCCTCACATTCTGCTGGGGAGCAGAGCAGGGCGGGAGACGAAGGAAGGGGTGAATCCTTGAAGACATGTTTGAAAAGTGACATGCCAAAAAAAGAAGAAAGCCACAGGTAAACTGTATGAGATGACTTATTTTTCCATTCTGCATTTATCACTGTAATAAGCAAATCCGGGCTGGGGGAAGGAGGGAGGGGAACACCAAGAATATATATTCAAGGCAGTTATCTTTCCTCTCATTTTGTGTGTGTGTGTGTGTGTGTGTAGGCTCCTGATTGCTTTGAAATGTCACTGTTGTCTTTCAGCAAACGTCTCCTATCAACAGAATGTTCCCTCAATGGGGGCAGACAGAAAACGATGCCCTCCCCCTTGGCAATTTGCGTGTCGTAGAGTATTAAACTCCTGCCATAGTTTTTCCTCATGTGGACATTCAAGGCTGTATCTACTGCCACCCTGGATAAAAGGGCCATATTAAATGCTTCTGGAGCTCTTGCAAGCTGCCATTGATAACTGCCTGCTTTTGACCTGCAAGGTTAAAACTCTAACTTGTTCTTTCCTGTGCTGTCAGCTAGTGGTGATAAATGCTTCGGCCTAAAAATAAAAAACCCTTTACAATCAGGTTTTAGATTTAAAAAAGAACTAGTTAACGTTGTAAAGACGAGGAAGGATTTTTCTCTCCCCCCCCTTCCACTTTTGGGCAAACACTGGGCAGCTCAAAGGAGCGTGTCTCTAAAATTTATGGTGCAAGAGGCTGGACACACGTGATTTTAGAGATTAAGGTAACAGGCAGTGCTGTGGCCTTGGAATGCTGCAATTTGACTTCATTCCCATCAGAAACACATACCTGTTCCTTCTCCTTTAGTGACTTTAGTGGTGATTTTGCAGAGGGGTGGGGCGGGCCAGCAGAGTGATTTACAGTTTTCAGAAGAAAGGCAGAAATGATCCCATTGTTTTAAAAAAGAGTTGCACCTCCCTCATGCTCATACATTACAAAGGTCCCCTATTTGGAAGGGACACCCTTATTTGTTGCAATTTTGCTTAATAAATTGCTGTCCCTATTTTACCTTTGAAAGCCTTTTCCATTTTTTAGTGGGAGTTCCTAAGGTTGTCATTTTCCAGTGCCTGCTCCAGGATTTTTTTATATTTTTTATATTTTGTGGAGAAGGGGTGTTTTCAGGCAAGATGCCCTTAGGTGGCCTCAGCCCCTGTTCTTTGTCTGCCGTAGGAAGCTCAGAGGACACATCAGTCAAGAAACTAGACAAGGGCTGCATCTACACAGCTATAAAAAAAACGCTCTGGAAATACTCGGGGGGGGGGGATGTTTTAAAGCTCACAATGGAAAATTTCATAGAGTTCCGATTTCAGCTCTACAGCACCATCTGGTGTCAGTGTTATAACACATCTATAATGTTTCATTTTTTACTAACGTAGCTGAGTGCAAGAACTTTATTAGATCCTCTTGACCAAGAACAGCGCAGCACTCGGAGCCTCCTGTCTCCATGCAGACATTAAGCCCAGAGCCACCTAGTGGTTAAAATATATCATGGCATTATCCACACAATGTCCTACCTGTACAGCCACTAAGAGGGAGAGCTCAACTGGAATATAGGATGCTGCTCCTTTTCTTCACACTTATTATGGTATTTTAATATTTTGCTGGAAGCCGCCCAGAGTGGCTGGGGAAGCCCAGCCAGATGGGTGGGGTATAAATAATTTTTTTTTATTATTATTATTAGAATTAGAATTATTAGAATTACTTGTATGCCCAAAGAAGGCAACTTTGGTAAACTAAAGGTAAACCACTGTGGGCTGGGGAGGGGAAATGTGGATGCATCAATACTGTAGAATGCACATAAGAGACCACAGAACTCTTACAAACC